CATCAAAACTCTGCCACAACAGTGGCTAATTTCTAATTAATATTGGACTCACTAAAACTTGCCATTTAGAGGCAAGATGTCCAAATATCAGGAAATAAGACTCCAGACAAATAGTCATTGTATAAAAGAGCATTAAAAATAATCATGCCTTCCTGTCTTCTGAAGATCTCCTCTGATGTGGCAATTTTCTAGTTCCTGAAACAGGTGCACCAAAGCTGATTTTCCCAAGAGCACAACTTATGGCACTTACACATTAGTGTCGGCACGGTCTGGGTTTGGTCGGGCTGCATATCATGAGTCCGGTCTCGAACGGGCGGTGTAGTGTTCACATAAATCCAAAAGACTTCTCAGGAATGCATAAATCCACGAGGCTGAGGGCGGTGTTTAATACACGCGGGAAAGTCCACAGTGTCCTTCATTATAAAGTAAACATTCCCCTTAACACTTGGATGTAATCTCATCATTGCACACATTCCATCTCTAGAGCATCAAGCTATAGCACCTACCAGCTCCCTTTGAGAAGCAGAAAATGTCCGCAAGACAAGCATCTATCTCGAAGTCTAACTGTGACACCTTTTTACCCAAGGTGACAACTTCTGAAGACTTGAACCCTCAGTGTATATTAAAGAAACTTGTCAATAACCCATCCTGCAGCAACAGAGACCAGCGCATCAGGCGCTGATTGGAGTTACGCATTCGGGAAAGGAACACCAACGGATTATGCTCTGTGAATACTTGAACAGGTTGTGAGGTTGAGCCTACATAAACCTCAAAGTGCTACAAAGCAAGTAAGCAAGAGTCTCCTTTTCAATGGTACTGTAATGGAGTTTATGTTTGTTAAGATTTTTAGAAAAATAACAGGATGATCTATACCATGTTCATCTTCTTGTAGAAGAACTGCTCCAGCTCCATTCAAGCTGGTATCAACCTCAAGTTTAAAAGGGCGCTCTGCATCCAGAGCGGCCAGTACCGGGACTTAGGCACTAAAACGCATGGCGAACTCCATGCGAAGTGTAACGCTGCTTTTTGGATGTGCAGTAAGAAAAGGGAAAAAACCCTTTTCGCACATAAGTAACGACAAAGGGCACTTTTGGCCTCAGGGGTCTGACGCGGAGGGTGGCTGACCAAGCGCTTGTTTTTGACGCGCAGGGAGTGAGAATGTGTAGGGGCCACAGATTTTTTATCAAAACGCATTTTCATCTTAGACTGTGCCTTGGATAAACTCTCTTGTGCCAACTGACAAGCATGAAAAAGACGCTCTTTAAAACGGCTAACATAATCCAGCACATTATGTTCATTTTGATGCATCTCTGACAACCATTTATCTTTAACAAGTCGCAAAGGACCGTGCACAGTATGTCCAAAAACTAAATCTGCAGGACTGAATCCAGTGGATTCTTGAGTGGTTTCTCTGACTGCAAACAACAGATGGGGAAGACCTTCATCCCAGTTGTTATCTGAATAAAGGCAGTACTTATGCAGCATGCTTTTTAATATTTGGTGGAACCATTCCAGTGCTCCTTGAGACTCTGGATGGTAAGGACTGGAAGTTTGATGCTGGATTTGTAACGCTTTTAAAACCTGTGCAAATAATTTGACATGAAATTTGATCCCTGGTCAGTCTGAACAACCTTGGGGAAGCCATAGGTTGAGAAAAAGGTGGTCAGAGCTTTCACAACGGGTTTAGATTTTACAGTCCGTAAAGGAAAAGCTTCTGGAAAGCTAGTGGCAGAACACATAATGGTAAGGATATACTGATGACCGGACTTTGACTTTCGCAATGGGCCCACACAAACCAATATTATCCTTTCAAAAGGTTCACCAATCACTGGGATAGGACAAAGAGGCGTAGGTGGGACTGGTTTATTTAGTTTCCCTACAACTTGGCAGGTATGACACAAACGACAATACTTTGTTACATCAGATTTTAATACCGGCCAGAAGAAATTACGCAGTATACGGTCATATGTTTTTTTCACTCCTAGATGTCCAGCTAAACTGGCATCATGTGCTATGCTCAAAATCTGTGGTCTAAGGTCTGTTGGAACAACCACTTGTTCTACCTTTTTCAACTCACTCGAGTCTGGAGACCAAGACCTCAGCAAAACCCCATCCCTAATGTAATATGCTACATTACTGCTAGGTCCTTTATCTGCAACAGACAAAAAACAGGATCTTAAGGACTGATCATTCTGCTGTGTTCTGATCAACGTATCTCTATTTACACCCAAGCTCGGTTTCATTTCAACAGGAATCACATCCGCAGTTTCACATTCTCTCACAGTTTCTTTTCTATTTACATCACTCATAACAGGTTCATCAGAAGTCATAAAAGAATCAGAGAGATCAACAATAGTACCCAGTTTACGAGCCTGTGCGCACGTAATGGCGCATGCAGGAAAGACCTCAGAAGAGGGGGCAACCGAATCGGGGGACACAAGCGGCGCATTAATCACTTGTGGAGGAAAAACCTGTCCACCAGCCAAATCATTACCGAGAATGAAGGAAACTCCTTCAATCGGCAATCGTAAACGCACAGCAACTTTAACTAGACCAGACACCAACGGCGACGATAGGTGCCCCATATGCAGAGGGGCTTTAGTTACACTCATTTTTATTCCCCACACCAAAATATCTGAACCACATGAGGTTTGTTCAGACAGAGGTAGCACCGATTCTAACATAAATGAGTGATACGCACTGTAGCGTTATTAAGATCCTATTGTCTGCCCTTAACAGCTGCCCCTTCACACAGTAACACTGTGCATGAATCACCAAGGTCGGGTGCTTGTTTCTAAATGTTTACATTCCAGGAAAGGAGACAGAAGAAAGAAGAACGCTTTTCATTAATTAATCAAAGTACATTATTTGTGATAAAGCTAATCAAAACATATGTTGATCAATAATAATCAGGTGACTGATCTGTGAAATCAAGACGTCATGATTTATGTGTTTAATGAATAAACAGGACTGGGCACCAGACATACTGATCCACAGAACATAGAAACGCATGACACATTGTTCTCATCCAATCAGAGCTTTCGTCTGTTGCAGGGCAGAATCTGGGTTGTTTAATTAAATTGTCCACTCCGATTTGCTAAGATTTATCAACAACTAAGTTAATAAAAACAGAACAATGCCATTTTAACTTCAGTTTCCATCTGAGTTCCAAAGGAGTTACATCATAGACTCAACGTAGTTTCAACCAGCTCTCAAATCATCATCGCTAAAGGAGATTACAGCCTGGCCAGCTGTGTTTTTCTACTTTTAAGCTGAGAACTGTCAAGCTGAAATTTCTGTCATTTGAACAACAAGACGACTGTTTCACAGTAAAGCTGAACTCGCTGACACCTGCCGCTACTGCCGGAGCTATCCGTACACGGGTTTTGTCGTGCTGCAACACTGTTTCATCAGTCCAGTACCACGGAGGTCCGGAGACCTGACATTCCCGATCTGACCACGGGAGTTCCACAAGGTACGTAGCCTCGGCAAGATGGCGTTTCATGTCATGAGCTTCTGAAGCCCTCGTGGTTCCTAGTCTAAACATCAGACAACCAGATCCGCCTGCCTCAGCCTAGAGATTCTGAACACACACACACCCACACACCAACACTTCAACATTCAAATCCATATGCATCCATCATATAGTTAGTCCTGGGACATTGTTTGAATTATAATTATAGAAATTAAAGATTCTTGAACGATCCCAACTCTCTCTTTTATTGTCTCTGAGTCAATACAAAGTGTTTAAATAAAACTCCCTGAAGGTAAAAACAACCTCTTCTGATTATAATATCTGGACCTAATAACAGTGTAAGAATATACAACTATATTCCACTACATAAATGGCGAGCCAGCCAGGAGACGAACCTAGAATCTTCTGATCTACAGCACCGGTATCCCACAGGATTTTAATTGGCACTTTATCTTTTTTGTCACCAGTTAAAGAGACAAACCCCTGTGAGACAAACGGTAAAAACTTTGGATCTATCTTAGTTTGGTTTGTCTTAACTTGACGAGAGGATGATTTTATCAATCCCACCCTGGCAGGAGGTTTTACCATTTTCTCCTCTTTTCTTTTGAGGGTCGGACATGTAGCAATCAGGTGTCCCGGCTCACGGCAATAAAAACATTCCCACATGTCGGTTTTTGAGCCGCAGGTGGAGGAGTCCTAGGCGTTTGTCTGAGAAATCGGGTTTTTCGTTCTGTAGAAATTTCTGAAAACTAATTCTGTGAGGAGAACACATTTTTATGGGTTAAAACAAATTTGTCAGCCAAAAGTGCTGCATCAGTCAACTTGGACACCTTCTGTTCATTTAAATAAATCACAATGCGCTCTGGCAGGCACTTTTTAAACTCCAGCAAAATTAGTGTTCTCATATCCTCAACAGTTTTAATTTTACAAGATTGACACCATTTATCAAATAAGGCACTCTTTTCATGCGCAAACTCAACAAACGTCTGGTTATTGGTTTTACTGAGGCTCTGAATTTTTGGCGGTAAGCCGCCGGAACAAGTTCATATGCGTGTGGCAACAGTTTTCTTAAGGGTGTCATAATCCAAACGTTCCTCAATAGCCAAAATGGAACTAACCTCTTGGGCTTTTCCCACTAGTTTACGCTGGAGCAGAAGAGACCAGAATTCTTTGGGCCAACTTAATGCAGCAGCCATGGACGTAATTTTGGGGGGGAGCAGGGGGGACATGCCCCCCCCCCCCCCCCCCACTTTTTCCAAAGTCAAGGTTTGACCCCTGCACTTTTTACCATCCAAAAACAACATTACGCTATATTAAATTGACACTGGTTGAGCTCTAGGACTAAGCAGAAAACAACCATTTGTGTTGAAGCCTGTTTCCCATTAGAACATACTGTAAAGACCCCCCCCCCCCCCCCCCCCCAAAGTGAAAATTACATCCATGGCAGCTACTATCCGCTCAAAAGCACTGAAATAAGAATCAACTTCAGTTTCACAGAAAGGAGGAACCAAGGCTATGTGCTTACTGATATCAAAAGTTGAAGAAGCAGAACTCGCTGTGCTCGCTGGGGTTTGTAAGGCTGCTGGGGCGCGTCTCTCCAGTTCAAGGGCTTTAACACGAAGGTGCATAGCCTGCACTTCCAGCTCCTTGTTGCGGCTTTCCACCTCCCTAATGCGGAGTGGGAGGCGCAGATCACCTGATGACATACTTTCCAGGTTTTCCGAGACCTCAACGGACTCGTCTTTTTCAGCGGGCGCATCAGCCAGTGCTGCGTCATCATCTCCAGGTGTGGCGTCTTCCGCCTTTTTGACAGCAATCATTGGCAGCACACTCTGTTCCACCAGCTGTTCACACAGAGCCTTCTTTAGTTCTGCTTTGCGAGCGCTGTAAGACACATCAACCTTGTAAAAGTTAACCACAATAAGCAGGTATGCTTTCCTGCAGACTTCCAAACTCTCCCACGAGGAAGCACTCACAAAATGATCAAGATAAACCCTTATCCACTACCCCCCACCACCCCACCCCCCACCCCCACCCCCACTCAAACAAAACCACCAACCAGACCACAGAACACAACATTCACCACCAACACCAGAAAAAAAGGATGAGCCCCCAATTCATGTTACAACCTGTCTAGGAGGGGCCAGGCCACAACATGAAGGTCGATTCCCATTTTCCACAGATCCCAAGTACCACACCACAGTTTGACTTATCTACAATGATTTTTATTTACAAGTTTTATATTAACTAAAAGCGAGGGAGGATAAATATAATATATATAACTCAGGGTGAACCAAAGTTCAAAACAACAAACAAAAATACCCCTAACTTAAATAATCATCTTACCTACAAATTAAAATAAAAAGAAATACAACCAAACTTACCTCCCTGATTACAAACACAGGAGAAAACTAAATGAAGAACTTAAATGGCAGGTTCACCCCTACTTTCCTCAGGTTTAGCAACAGGTCTTTTACACAACACTCAACACAGGACACTAAGTGGATGGTGGCAGGTTGGGATGAGCAGAGAATAAGGATCAGCTGCAGGTGGTGTGTACATCCCGATAGGCAAGTGGGAGCAATTCCTATTCCTATTGGAGTCTCATGTTATGTTGTGTTGTCTGAAGTCTGTTGCATATCTGTTGAGGTGGTTTTTTTTTTTTTTTTGCAGAGCAAAGCTGCCCTCCCTGTGGAGGGTAACTCTGAAGTGCACAAAGATTAAGAATCAATGATGAACAACAATCTGCTTCTAGACCTGCAGAAAAGAGACACACAACAATACAACAGAAGCAGGCTATCACTGTGTCAACTTGATGAGAAAATATAAAAACATTGTTTTACTGAACAATCACACGATAATAAATCACAGTGCATTTAGTGTCAACCACAGCCTTAAGACATGTGTTGAAAATGCCCAAGTCCATACTTAAGAGAGCACCATGTGAGCACCTGTGTGTGTACGTGTGCTTGTATATGTAAGGTTTCTCTATAGAGAAACCTATGTTTTTCTACAACACATTTCTCCAATTCTGAAATCTCTCCACTGGTTGCCCGTGCAGTTCAGGATAAACTTCAAAATTATGCTTCTCCTGGGACGTAATTTTGGGGGGGGACGGGTGGGACATGTCCCCCCCACTTTTTCAAAAGGCAGTTTTGGTCTCCTGCACTTTTTTCCGTCCAAAAACAATATTACGCTCCATTAAATGGATTTGGTTGAGCACTAGGACTGAAACGGAAACCGGTTTCCTATTAGACCCGCCCAAAAGCTAATCTATTGGCTCTGCTGATACTTGCTAACGTATTATTGGCTGTTGCTGCTGTCACTCAACTTGTAAACAGTCAGAACGTGCTCACGTTGTTTTGCTAGTTTGGAGCCGCTAGGGAACACCGGTACTGAGTCACATCGTCAACTAGATGCTGTGTAATATCAGAGCTCAGCTCAGCTTCCATTACATAACATTTGAATAAGTGTTCATTTGTGAGTCTTTGGTAGTTAGGCACAGCCAGGAGGCAGCATGTCAAGAAAATGAAAAGTGGATATAAGAGACTTCTTTCAAAGTCAAAACGTAAGTTGGAACATGTGACACCCCTGCATTAAGCTCAGACTCACCTCCTCCTTCACAAACATACTCAAAACTAACTTTTACAAACTCATCTCCTCCACATAACTGACTCCTCAGACACAATTTATTCGTATTATTATAATTATTATTTTTTTTATTATTACTATTATCATCATAATTATTATTACTAGTAGTAGTAGTAGTAGAAGTGTAACTTCAAAACTTTTATCATTTAACTTTATTGTAAACTTATCTATTGCAATGTATATTTTCACATTAAAAAGCTCTGAAAAATGAACAGTATCATCATCGTCAACGGATTTTTTTAAGCTTAATGTCAAAGATGTACACTTTTCATTAGATGTATCTTATTTTTTCCATTTATTTTTCGTGTGTTGAAATGCAACAACTGTTTAAACACTTTTAAGGGAAAAAACATATTTAATATGTTTTTATACACTCAAATGTTAGGGTGATGATCATGTGTAAAACATTAGTTCAGCATGTCCTCTAACACAACAAATGAACAAACGGCCAGATCTCAGGAGGGACCGTTTATGTATAAATAATTTTTATACTTTTGACTAGGCCTGGGAAAGTAACAAATTTTGCTGGACGATATTTTGTCCAACAAATTGTTGATGATAAACGATATCATTGTCAACATTATCTAGACCAAAATAACCACTAATATAATGTTAATATATCATAATAATGCAAGTACACCCTTTAAAATGCAACAAATAAACCTTCATTTAACATTGAAATGTCCAGAACCAGAACTTCTAAATGAATAAAAATAACAAACAAAAATTGAATAAAAAAGGAATCTCACTCCCTGTTAGAAAATGTTGCACCAAAAACAATAAAAAAAAGACCCAAAACAATAAATACAATGGCCTATCCATTGTCAACAGCCAAAACTGCACTTCATTAATGATAATAGATAAAAATAATAATAGAGTTGTACATTTTTTAACTTTGATATATATATATATATATATATATATATATATATATATATATATATATTGAGGATGGAAAAATTATTGAGATGGGCACGTGACGTGTCAAGGGGTCTTTACATAACACCCCCCACCCAAAATCCGCACAAGCCTGCTGTGTCCCCCCCACTTCTGAAATCAAAATTTCGTCCCTGTGCTTCTCACTTACAAATCCTTGAACCATCAAGCTCCTCCATATCTGTGTGAACTTGTCCATTACTACAACCCGCCGCGTGCTCTCAGGTCTGAAGATAAGCTCCTCCTAGCTGTTCCCAATGCACGTTTAAAAAGCCGTGGAGAGAGGGCTTTCTCTGTCTGTGCACCGAAGCTGTGGAACGCATTACCACTGCTAGTGAGGCTAGCACCAACAGCTAGCATTTTTAAATCACGCCTGAAAACTCACTACTTCAACCTAGCTTATACAACATAATTATGAACCTCACTGACATCTGCATTGTTTAAAAACTGACTCCACAATTATCGACTTCCGTATTATTGAGGTTCTTTGTAAAATGTTTTTTTTCCTATTTTTACTTCACCCTGTGTCTTAATGATTTTTAGCTGTTATTTTTGGGAATTTTCTTGTATTTCCTTTTTATCTTTTATCTGTGTTCGACATGTTTATATAACGCCTGTTTAATTAACCAACATTTTTAGTGTACAGCGCCTTGTTTGGTTGTAATGCCTTGTGAATGCGCTTTATAAATAAAATTGGATTGGATTGGATTGGATAGGAGCATCCTGTAGAGAGTGTGAGGGGCCACGTATCTGCCCCCCAAAGATGTGTAGGAAATGGAAGGAGCTCCAAGTCCCAGAGATCCAGGAGCTGCCCCAGAGCACAGGGACCCCAGGGAGACTGCAACCAGAAAAGCCCCTGCCCCCCATCGAGAGGCTCAGAGGATTGCCCCGAGGGGCATGACCAGCAGCTGGCAGAGCCCCGGGAGATATCAGTGGCAAGCCCACAGGCCCACCTGCAACCTTCCACCCCTCAGCACGAAACCCAGCGACCCGGGACCCAGGTGCGACCAGCCCCGCCATGGACCCAGCAGAGCCCAGGGACCCAGACCCCACCAGGCAGCCACCAAGATTTATCAGGCAGACACCAAAAATCTTAAACCCTCTGGCTCGGTGTGGCTCCGGCGCTTTCACACAACGTCTAGGGTGTCGGAGGAGCGCGCCGAGCCTCTCCGCGTCCCGCACCTCACAAGTCGTCCGCGTCCCCCCCCACCCCCCACCCCCCCGTCTAGGGTGGGGGTCGCTTTATAGGCGCAGGCTGTTTCGGAACTGGCGGGGCGCACAGGGCAAAGGGGCAGTGAACTACGGGCGCACGGAGTTTGGTCGGCTCGGCGTGGCTCCGGTGCTTTCGGACAACGGCGGGAGTGTCAGGGAGGCTGGGATGCAGGCACACACCGTGGTTGTCCCGACTCCCCTGCCACTGTCCGAAAGTGCCACGACTCAGACGATGTCTGACAACTGAGACCTGACGCCTGAGAACTGACAACTGAGGCAAAAGAACTGACAACTGAGACCTGACACCTGACAACTGAGACCTGAGGATCTTTCCTGAAGCAGTTTTTCCTGAAACCTGATGCTTTTTTCCCCATGGTCTGAAGTCTGACACCTGAGACCTAATACCTGAGGATGTCCTAAAATGTACGCCATACACCTGACATATACAGTCATACACAAACATAGTCACATACTCCCTCCCTCATGCTCACACATACACACACAACCTAAGACTTACAAAAATGCGCGCCATACGCCAACTCATGCTCCCCATACACACCCTATTTACTCTGGTCCCGGTACTGCTGCACAAGCGGTACAACCATCACCGGTTCCCAGAGTTTGACCCTTTCTGCTGGGGTGCTGATGAGCAGGCTCCCCTGCCTAACGCTGAGCAAAGCAACCCACCACCCCAGACCCCAACCATATGGCGAGATCCCCCTCCTAGCCTCCAGCCCCGGGAAGCCAAGCGACAACAGAGGTGTGCTAAGACCCCTAGTCTCCCTCCGCCACCTCCGATACAGTGTTGATGCGTGTTGATGAGGTGTATTCCATGGCTGTGGTGAGCGGGCATACACAGGTGCCAACGGTCTTTCTGACCACCATCAGCAGGTAACATGGATTAAGTGTCTTGTTCTAATGTTTTAAGCTGACTTGTTTTGCAGATTTTCAATTCCTAAAAATGAATCATGAATGAATGCCACACATATTGATTTCTTTAGAGCAAACACAAATCACAGCTGCATGATTTGAAATTTATTTTGATGCATAGAGAAACAAGCGCCCCTGTTCAATTTCCTGTCCTGTATTCTTGTCATTTATTTCATGTCTGCATTAATGTACTTTGTGCAGAACTGAGCTACTTTTAGAGAAAAAAAAATACTACATCAAAGCCAGGCTTGTTGCGATATAATAAGC